AAGGAGCCAGTAGCTCCCTGTGCCTTCATAGAATCACAGAATGGTTTGGGTTGGAAGGGACTCCTAGAGGCCATCTAGCCCAACCCCGCCTGCAATGAGCAGGGACATAGAATTTCATAGAATTTCATAGAATCACTTTGGTTGGAAAAGACCTTTAAGATCATCGAGTCCAACCTTTAACCTAACCCTGCCATCCCACCGCTAAACCATGACCCTAATTTTTTTTAAATATTGCGAACCTTAGGTACATCCCTCTCATAGTTCAACAACAGCAGCCAAAAAAAGGCATCAGCCATGCTGGGTTCATGCTGCTTAAGCCCAACATGCTTTTGCCAGGAACATCTGTAACCCATCCTCTGTTTTATCTCTTCCTCTAGGAGATAGTCCACTGAGGGCACATACTAAACCTGAAAGAGCTTTGAAACCTCACCAAAGAGTAGGGTTCCTTTGCTTCATCCCCATCATTGTCACTTTTCAAGAGATTTAGGTAAGCTGATGTGTTGTTCAAGGGGTCCAAGCACAGGGTAAGGCCACCATCTTCAACTGGATCAGGTTGCTCAGAGCCCCATCCAACCTGGCCTTGGATGTTTCCAGGGATGGGGCATCTGCCGCCTCTCTGGACAACTTTGCTCACTTTGAAGAGATCTTCTGCACCAGAAATCAGAACACAGCCATCCTGACTGAGCAAGGCATCGTTTGCACCTTTGGTCCTCTCCTCTTGCCCAGGCCGGGCTCAGAGAAAGAAGGATATACTCACTGCCTGGGGAAAACTGCACCATCACACACGCCAGGGTTTGCCCAGCAAGATCCTGGGGGAGAGGAGACCCTGGGATTGGTGACGGGAAGGCTGCAGAGACCAGATAACACCTGCGTGTGTCGGGAAGGCCATGGGGAAAAGGACCAGAGCCAATTAGACTCGCAAGTCAATGGAGGAGAAGTAATGGGATTAAGATACATCAGGGAGAATTCAGATTAGATAGAAGGGAGCAGGCTATCATGAGAGGAGCAGACTGGGCCGTAGGATGAGCTGCCAAAGGAATCGTCATCACCGAGGCAGACGCGGCAGAGAGCAGACACGAGTCTGCAGGAAGAGCAGGCGCCTGCCTGCTGCTCAGCCTGGAGCTGTGGCGGGTGGGTGTCTGCGTGCCGGGGGAGATGGGACCACTCCACCACAGCGAGGCTGTGCACCAGAACAGGGACAGACCGCCTCTGCACATCTGTGCTTGATAACCTGAGATGCAAGGAGAATTACATCAGCTGCCCTTCAGCCCGGTGTGCTGGGGTCCCTCCCCAACGCTTAGGAGGAATGCTGTGTGCAGGCACCCTTTCTGCTGGCTGCGTCCCATGCTGGAGGTGGGAAGGGAGAGCCCAGTTGTCCGCCGTGAACTTCCCCGCCTGGCTAGACATGCTGCCCTGCCACTGCAGGCAAGAAGAAGGAGAAGGAGCACAACCCCAGTTTCAGCCTGTCCTCTTCAGCTCCATCAAGCTACCAGGCAGCTCCTGTCCCTCCTGCCCGGACCTGCTCCCCTCCCATGCCCAAGCATGCCATCCCCCTTCCTGAGCCCAAGACAGAGCAGGAAGGTCTCCAGCCCGGCGAGAATGGAGTAGGCTGGACCCGGGGAGGGGGGCAGCTCCACCAGGTGCAGTTGGGGTAGCAGGGCCAAGGATGCGAGGAAGGGATCTCCAAGAAATCCTGGAGTGCAGCGGGGAGCGCTAACCAGAGAGGTCCCACTTCTCCTCAGGGTGCTGTGGGTCTGGCACGGCCACAGGCTGTGGCACTGGGGCTACATCTGGGACCTGGCCGCAGCCGGCACCATGTGCATGGGGAAGGGGTTCTGCAGCAGGAGGACTCTGCGGGGATCCTGCAGGCCAGAGCAGCAGCCGTGCCTCAAAGATACCTATGTCCACCTGGATAGATCACTGGCTGACAGCCGGCTGAATATGAGCCAGCAGTGTGCTCAGGTGGCCAAGAAGCCCAATGGCATCCTGGCTTGTATCAGGAATGGTGTGGCCGGCAGGAGCAGGGCAGTGATCGTGCCCCTGTCCTCGGTGCTGGTGAGGCCCCACCTCGAATGCTGTGTTCAGTTTTGGGCCCCTCACTACAAGAAAGATGTTGCATTGCTGG